ATTCTCATTCCGTATTTTTGTACAAGCTTACTTCAAATAGTCCACTTATAATAAAAGTGCATGTTGCCAAAGGGATTATCGAAAAAAGTGGTTTCGAAGCGAAAAAAGCAATTTTCTTATACGTTTAAAAATAGTTATAAATAAATAGGTCCCGTGGAAAACTTTCGGTAACCCTTTAAACAAAGGATAGTGGCATCATAATCTATAAATTAAAACAAAGTTTCAACTTGTGGGTATATCTCTGTCGATGCATGGTATATAGCGGTCGCGGAACTCGGCGTGGCGCGACATTAAAAATTAAAAACAATGAGTTACAATTAAGTTACGAACAAAACTCTTCCGGATCTGTTTTCCATAGGTTTAATTTTACGATTACTAAACTTAAAAATATAATTTTTTTCATCCGTTTCTCAAGCTTTGAAAATTACAATTTTTAACGTTTTTTCGTATCTTAATTTGTTTATAACTCGATGCATTTTATAGAAAAGCTATCATTTTTCTTAGAATGAGTCCTAATTATCCTAAAAAACCTGACAAAAAAAAATAAATTTTACAATTTGTTTAAATAATGCACTTGTGTTACAAGGGGACTTCAAGAAGTTTGTGCAAAATATTGATAAGAATATTTTTCCTAACTAGTACGCCGTACTAATTATTAAGTATTTAAAATCTTTTTGAACCAATCCGTTAGCTATACGGTTTATATATTTTTGTGTCGCTTTTATTCATGCTTCGGATATCTTCTGATCGTTGCTGTCAAGTATGAACTTGCTGTCACTTATTATTTGGTTGTTTTACAGCTAATATTATTTTATTTTAATTTATAAGTCTGGCTGACAGTGGAGGATAAAAATATGTGATGCAGAATAAATGGTAGATTGAAGCTACTGCAAAGTACTTGGTTATGCATCTTGATGTGAGACTTCGTTGGAATGTGTATAAACAAAAAACACGAAGAATTTTAATTAAGATTCAGTAGAATCGAGTGTATAAGAAGGGGCCCCAAAAGAGAGCTGAATTTTGTCGAACACTGAAAGAAAATATTGAGAAAACACTAAAACAAGATGTATGATCATATTAGGAAATTTTAACGCTCATTAGAAAATAAGTAAGAAATTTGTTGGCACCTGCATTAAATTTGGATTTACATAATACTAGATATAAGCAGGCAGATACATACATACATACAATAATGATGAAATCAAGATCAAGAAAAAAATAAAAATTTTATATACCCATATACAAACAAATAATATAGACAATGCCAAGATGCATGAATTCGACTCTTAAACTGGTTATAGCATATAGGAAACAGAAAAATTGACAATTATAAACAAAAGAATGTGATAACTGTTCAAGGCAAGGAAATTAAAACATGAAAGAAGAAATTGAAAGAAGTAATTGTTTATAATTCGATGAATAAAGGAATGCAAGAAAAAAGGAAAAAATAAAACGAAATGAATTAGATCAGAAAGTGCAAAGATGAAAGAAACAAGATAAAAAAATTGTATGGCATAATAGCGAGAGAAAAATACGCTTAGAAACGGAATATACACTATTTTTTTTTTCATTTCTACCTTTTTTTATTCGATTCTATATACTTTTTCAAGTTCAATTTTTTTTTAATTTTTCCAAGTGGGCCGGAAATTTTTATTAATAACTTAAAAATATAATATGTAATTAAAAAACAATTTTTCGAATCTCTTCGAGAAACATTTTTTTAGACGTATCTCATCAACTTTTTTATCTTGGAAATTTTTAGAAAAATGCTTCCTTTTTGAGTTATTTGCAATTTTTTGTTTAAAAGTTTAAAAAACGCCTTAATTAGTGATTTTTTCTACAAAACTATTGAATGAATCTATAAAAAGCTATATAATCTTTAAATCTTCACGTATAAGTAAGAATATTTTGACAAGGATAAGTGGTTTCTATCTTGCTACAAACATACATAGTTTTAAATTTAAACAAAAAATTCTAGGTGCCGCCCGCCTGTATCGCCGTTACGAATCCCAAAAATCACTAATTAAAGCATTTTCAACCAAAAATTACAAATAACTCAAAAAGGAAGCATTTTCGAAAAATTACCAAGATAGAAAAAGTATTTATTTCGATGATCTACGTCTAAAAAATTTTACTTTAAGCGAATTGGAAAATTGTTTTTTGTTTAAGTTATTTGTTAATAAAAAATTTCGGCCCACTTGGAAATATTAAAAAAAAATACATTTGAACTTATATATAAAATCGAAAAAAGGTTGGTGCGGTAGAAATGCAAAAAGTAGTCGATTTAGGCTGTGATTACAGGGGTAAAACACTTGACTGTAAGGGAAATAAATGTCAGCAAATAAGCGATGGTGTAAAATAAAGTGCTGTGTTCATGAAAATGGTTTATTTATTATAATGGTTCAAGAATATTATGTAAAAGTATGAATGAATATTTAAAAGTTCAACTATCTTTTTTTTACAGAGAAATGAATATATTTGGTCATTATTTTATCAAATACTATACTGTTCGAATTATTTGGAACAAACATGTGAGTTATTTGATTACCCGTGATGTCCCGAATCGAATCGGTTATATCTGCCTAAAGGCAGTGAAGGATCGACTTTGACTATAATTTACTCGTGTAACTGGTTTTTGGTGTAAGTTTTTCTGCGTGGCGGCCGGTGGCCATAATATATGTGTTACTTTTGCTTGTTCAAAGATATTACTCCTACGACGCGTACTAAAGTAACTGCTCTTAATGAACATACTTCTATGACTATTGAGAGATATAGCTACAGTTGTTGTGGAGCAATCAAATGTTGCAAGAATTTTAAAATTCCAATAACAGAATGTAAAATACTCTTCCAAACAGATGTTTTGGGAGCTTTTCACAACAAATGGCACTGTAAAGCTTACTTCATATTAAAGGCATGATTGCGTCTGCCAAATACATTAAAATATTACGCAGAAGGAATGCTCCATTTATGGAAACATTTCAACATGACTCGGTCTCTCTTATGCGCGAAAATAAAGTAAGAGTGCTTCATTGGCCTGGTAATTCACCAGACTTGAATCAAATTGAGAACTACATTGATAAATTAAACTACAAAAGAAAAAATGATAACACGTGCTATACAAACAAATGTGATACCACGATGATAAATTCAAAAACATGTAAACTAGTGGCTAAGACGTGTTGGAGAGGTCATTTCTGCTAAAGAAGAACGTACTTCGTACTAATATACATAGTTTTTTTATTTGTCCCAATTCGAACAGTATAGTATATTGTATACATACTGCGATTGTGGCACTACCTGATAGACGAATCCTGAAAGACAAAACGTCATGTCGTGGTGTGAACGAAGACAGACAGAGCAAAGACAGTATAAAACAAATAAAAGAAATTGCAGAAATTTATAGATATGACAGAATGACAAACTTCTCTGATGAATAATTCTGGTATTTCTGAAAGATAGACACTTCAGAACACTCTGACCCCACTTCAATTAATTTTTGGTGGAGACGCGTGCCAAAGGTACACACAGAGTCCTAAAAAACAACTAGACAACATGCCACAACTGACATGACGCTGTCTGTACCTGTCAGTAGATGCGGTACGCTATCTTTAGGACTTTGTGTGTACCTGTCACCCGCTGCCTATCGTTTTAGGGGAGGGGCTAGTAACGCCAGCGGCGCGGCGCCTCCACCAAACATTGTCTGAAGTGTCTACCTTTTCTACTTTCGCTAGAGTTTTGTTTTTGTGGAAATTTACATTAAAATTAAAATAAATTATGCGGAAAAACTAAAATAACATGAGATTGCACATCACCTGAATATGTTATATATACGTTACCCAACCTGCGAAGAAATGTTTGCTGAAAACCAACTATACAAGACACCGTCAGAATATTGAAATATAGATTTTCAAAAATAATAATCAGTTGCTCCAATTTCTACAAACAAAAACTACAATAGGTGTCTAACAATTTTTGTTTGAAACTTATTTCAGGAGAAAAGGCGTAAGTGTGATAATTTTAAACTATATAAAGTACGCCTTTACTGGATACGATGGAATAAGAAACCCGTCAGATGAAGATCACAATTTAAATAATTTGAGAAATGCGAGATTGAGAGAGAAGTGGGAAAATGTACGTCAATAAAGATTGAAACTTAATATATATGGTAGTGTATAAAGAAAAATAAAATACTTCGTATCCCAAAATTACTATACCGATAATCTCTAGAAATATTCAAAATAATTTAAATTTTAGCAAGAAATATGAAAATAAAATAAAATAATTGTTGCTCAATATATGAACAAGGACAAATAGAATACATAGGTTAGAAACCAAATCCTTAACTACGGTACTAAATTTATTCAAACTATTAGTGGAATAAAATGGGTTAACGATTAATGAGGAATAAACGATTTATATGAACTTTGCGGACTACATAATTTTTATAAGTATATATAATTATACAGCAGATTAATGGCTAATTAAGCTGAACGAAAAAACATAATTTTAGAAAAGAGACCACAAAATCATCTTGGTACTGATTACTACAGAATTCATACCATCGAGATGAGAGAAACAGTTCAATGATGTTCTGCTAAATGTTTAATTATAGGTTAGACTTCAAAATGCATTCTATTTCATATCTAAAAAAGTACTTTATGTAAATTGGTAGACACCTTTAAATATCGAACTAAAAAAAGACATATCGAACTAAAAACAAAGACATATCGAACTAAAAAAGAAAGACAAAACGAACCAAATTGAACCAAAGTTTAAACAACAACAAGGTAAAAAGGACATTCAGTAAGTTCAAAATATCTACACACATCGACGTCGGAACTATATCCGCTTGGATCTAGGCAAACCTGCGTCGATGAGCCTGAAAGGCCATCGGGTGAGGCTGCTATTATTTGAGGCGACCCGTTAGCTTGGATCTGTATCTTATGGGTCGGTACCATGCCCGATGAATGCATTTTTAATACGCCCACCGATGTACTGACATTTGCATTGGCAGTTGCCGCCTGGTTGGCTTTTTCATCTTCTTCTGTGAAGGCAGGAAGGAGGTCTTCTCTACCATGGAACTTGTAACAGTTTATAACAATCTGCCGGAGAGCGTGTGTCCAAGATATCTGGAATAAAATTAATTTTTAGCAAATATCAAATATATTTATATTTACTATAGATATATACATAAATACAGATCCTACCAGGTGTAAACAATATCTAAATTAGGTCCTTGGTGCAAACTATTTTGGTTAAGTACATATTATTACTTAAAATACAGTTTAAGAATATAATTTCTTACTCAATACAAAAAATTGGTGATTGTCTTTTGTGACAACGTGTTGGTATAAAGGCTATAGCGGGATAAGATGGTAAAATCTGCACCCGGATCGGATCGGATTTTTATTTGGGGTTGAGCACTTGAAAGTATTTAAAATGTGTTTTTTCGAAAAAAAAAAAAATTCCTGAGCCATCCTTTGGTTTAAAAAATCTGAAAAAAATTCATTTTTTGTTGTTTTTTCCATGGTTTTCGCACATAATAAAATAATCATAAACTGTATGTCGACAAATACCGATTTCATATCATATATATTTTTATTTATATTTATAATAGGGCGATCCGGTTTGCCATTTTCAGCCAAGAACATGCAGCCACGCAAGCATGAAAATACGACAAACCCTAGTTTTTGATATTTTTCCCATGTTTGAAGCGCGTATTTAAGTAGTGACTATCAATTATATATTCCCATGTCGAAAAACACTGATTTTTTTTATCAAAATTAAGCTGAGGAAAAATATTTGAATTTGGTACGTATTTTAAAAAATTGTTAAGTTAAAATGAAACTGGCTGGGTATATATAAAGAAAATCGTAGGACATAAAAATCGCGAATTATTAAATGACGACCAAAACCACACCAGAGAATCAGATACAGACCTCAAACCAGATAGCTCGATGACATCGAATGAATTACTGGTCACGAATGATCACGAAACAGCAGAAACTAGTGGACACGCCTACAAAAGGGTTAAATGCGATGGTAGATGTAATAGTAGTTGATGATGAACAAGTAATTTGCAATCCTTGTTATACACCCTATTTCTTTGACACATCTTTTTGTTCCAAGTACCACTTTTGAATTATTGTGAACACAAGATTTTTCTTTGATAGTAAAATGTTTTTTGTTTGTGACATTTCGGAAAAAGACCTTAAAAATAGATCCTAATATCCTTAATTATTAACGAAATATACATTACCTTTTGTTTTTCATCCTCGCTTCTAGCGTCCATTCTGACATTTGCCCAAGGTAACTCTTTCGGCCACCACGGTGGTCTCGTCGATTCTCTGCCCCAACCGGGTTTTCCCCTTCCTGTTGAGTATTTAAGCATTAAAGGAATAAATGCTCGCAACTGTGCTTGGGTCATTTTTTCCACTGGTGTTGGAATTCCATCAATTATCAGTGGAGGTAGTTCGAAAAGTGTAGGATCTTCTTGAATCGGTGGCGGTGCTTGAGTTGCAAGAGCAGTGTCCAATTCGTCCATTATCATACCCCTAAGGTTCTTAATTACGTCTTCTAGAGGTTTGGCCCCGAAGACCTTATAACTAGTATTTGGTTTTCCAGGTGTAGCAACTAGTACTATGGCTTGTTGACCAACTCTAGTTGCAAATTCGTCAATTGTTTGCTGAAAATAATCATTCGAATCATATATAAAATAATTATAGTATATAAATTCGTTCAGAAAGTTTATTGTAAAAATTATTAGTAATTAAGCAACGATTTGACTGTTAGAATTGGAGACACATGCTGGCATGGATGATATGGAAACTGGATAAAGCAGAGGAAACAAGGACAGATCTGCGTAAAAATTAATAGAATAGGATGCGATAGACAGACTAAGAGATTAACACTTTAACTGCCAGGTAAATGCAGAGTAAATTTTGTACTGGGTCTTCTTAATTACTCTATTTGTGTTTATTTTTAGTAAAACTCATAAAATCAATTTTTTTTTGTTTTTTTTTTTAACTGCAATGTCCTCATTTGCTGCACGCAGCCTGCGATTGCGAAATTGTTAATAATGTCTAGTTGCAGGCCATTAGTAACACATATGTTAGATCACAGGTACTAGTTTGTTATTTACTTTCGAAGGGAGCTTGTCCTCGACTTAACGATTGAAAAAAGTTAATATGACGCATAATAACAAAAAACTCCGTACTTTAGAGTTGGAATTATAAGCAGAAAAGGCTGTTGGTGAGTTAGAGGAATTTAGACAAATGAATATGTGATGATTTTTGTGATTATTCGGATTCATATTTGGATCCTACATAATAATATACACGCAGCGTTGACGAGTGAATCCGCCAATGAATCTGTAGCGAAAAAAGGACAATTTTGAGAAAATGTTTGTTCACTAAAAGCTTAAATAAAATTTTAGATTGTATAATCCGATTTTTTTACTATTAAATTGGCTTCACACAAATGAATTTACGTTTGTTCTACCTATAATAAATAAATCTTTTCATTTTTCACAAAACCTTGATTTGCTCATAATACACTCGCGATCATAAAACCTGGTTCACCTTGGAAATCACCGATATTTCATTTTTAACGAGCTTTATCGTAAATAATAACACAAATGCAAACTAATGCATGTTTCTGAGAATTGTTGTAGGCTTAGCGGTTTTCTTTGTAACAAAGAATTCCAATAGTGCCTATTTCTCGGAAAAGTGCACACTTCCCAAAATGAACGGTACCTTTTTTAAATGTCTCATTTGTGCTTCGACTTTTTTCAAACGTAACGAAGAAACTTGTATTTTACAAAGAGTGCTTCAACGCTTTCAGGAGACGGGTTTGCTAACCAGACGACCTGGCTCTGGACGAAGAACAACCACGGCACGAGATGACCGTTTCCTTGTGTTTCAGGCTTTACGAAACCGGACCTCAACTGCAATTATGGATCGAAATCGTCAGGAAGTACGAAATCGCAACGTTGCAACAGTCAGGAGAAGACTTCGTTCTTCTGGACTATCTTCTTGTGAAAATGGGTCCTTAACTGAACGAAGGTACATTGCGGAGATTCTGGAAGAACATGTAATGCCCACCATGGCAGGACTTGACGCCGTTTTTATGCAGGACAACGCGCGACCGCACGTTGCCAAGACCAGTATGAAATACCTGGACGAGGTTGGAATTACCGAGGTTACCCTGGACAGCTAGATCTCCGGATCTGAATCCCATCGAACATCTCTGGGACGATTTGAAAAAAGTATTCAAACCCATACACCTCCTCCTAACAACGCATATGGGCTTATGCATTATGCTTATGCATATATTAGTGAGAGAGTGGAATAACATACCACAGCATGTAATCCGGAGAAAAATTGAGCGTATGCCCCGTCGTCTGCAAGAGGTTAGTAGAGCAAATACACGATTTTAGTCCTAAAAATTTCACTGATGTTTTTCCACTTTTTTCGTATGTCTGTTTTATCAACAATTTGGTTTGTGCTTTGTTTGCTTTTTCAATAAAAACAATAAAAAACCATATTTTTATCTTTCAAGACAAACATTGATGACAAATAAAAAATACATTAGCCTAAAAAAAGGTTATTATTGTACCAGAGGCAAAAAGAATCAAACGGTTCTTTAACTCAAGATGATGATTTCTTGGCAGATACTGTTGCCATCATTAGCTGATTACTGGCTTAAAATTTCATTATATAAAAGTGATATTGCTAAATACATGCTCCGAAATCGATTGGAATTGCGGTAAAGAAAAACTTAATGAACTACCGCTTGCTGAAAGGGTAGTTATGGAAAGGATTTAACCCTTATTGGGTCAGGGAGGGACTTTTGTTACGGAGAACTGGTATATATGAGTTAACCTCACTGAAATTTTGAAAACTAGATCCACTCATTTTATAGGAACATTGAGGAAAAAATCGAAAAAATCTTCCCAACGATGTTGTAGAAGCCAAACTCAAGAAAGGGGAGATCATTGCAAAACAAAACAATAATTGCAGTTATGAAGTGGCACGTACTTTTTCTGTATACAAAATATAGAGACGGTATGATAGAGGTAACGCATAGGGAAGTTCCTAAAATAAAACTTGCAGCCTTTTTCGCAAAAGCATTTGTGGACATGCCACAGATAAAAGACACCTTACTCAAACTGTTTACAAAAAAGTCTGTCAAATGGTACAGAAAAGTGGCATTTTTCCCAAGGACATACCCCTTCCTGTAAAAGTTCAAACTAAAAGTTCATTTGTTAGAAAAAAAACTCTGAACTACATGGTCGAAATTATACTGTAAAAAACACAAAACGAGTTATGTATGTATGCAACGGATGTGAAGAAACTTTTACGTGTTTGGAATGTTTTTTTGAAAACCATGTTTTCACGAAAAAATAACTAAAACATGTGCAATAAAATTGACTCACAGTAAGTGACTCACTCCACCTAAATTATTGGAATATGACGTTTACTTTTATCACCTAAATATATATTTTTTAAAATTTAAGTTTTAGGGCCTTGAACGTAAAGAATGAAAGTATGGTTTCTTGTCAATCTACTGATTCTTGTGATATTGATATATACATTATATTTACCTCTAGGAGAAGTACTGATTTGGTTAACAAATTCAAGTAGTCAAATACATTATCGTGGCTGAATGGACCAAGTTCTCCAAAGCCATTAATTAAATAAAAAAAAATCTTCATTCAAGAACTTCAGGAAAAAAAATCTAGTTCGTACATATTCGTAAGAAATTATTTGAGAAGCTAGAATTTATTATATTTTGTTTAGTTCTTAGTTCTTTACAAGTCCAAAAGTGAAGTAGAGGCTAAGTAGAACTTAAATCCAAATTTCCGTGTAAATCAGTGGAGAAAGGTATTCAATGACATTGTTTTAATTATAACTAAGTATGAGATTTAGAGGTTAAACTGTGATAAAATCTAAAATTATGTTAATTGACATTCATTCCCTGATCATTTCTGATCGACCCCTGAGCGTCAAATTGTATCCTAGTCTAATATCCCAAATTATACAAGATAAAGAGATGAAAAAAATATATTTATATAAAAAAAAGGAAAAAAAATAAAAAAAAAACACAACAAAAGGAAATAATTCAAAACAAGCTGAATATGTTATAAGAGAAATAAAAATCTAAGGTATAATTGTAAAATTAGACATATAGGAAATATTTTTTTGTAAAATTAGAGAAGGACTATCATTGTATAGCAAAAGAGAAAAAAGCAAGAAGCACTCCTTTAGAGCTTCCGAATAAAAAATACAAAATAATCACACAAAGGTAAGATGGCGAATGGACAGAGACTCCGAAGCCAATAATGCACAAACACACACATTCATTCCCTTCATTAAAACATAATTTGAACCCATTACCCGCTTTAATTTACAATTATACGATTTTTTTCTAATAGAAGTGTAGAGGGTCCAAAAGTGAAGTAGAGGGTAAGTAGAACCTAAATCCAAATTTTCACGCATTTTGGTGTCGACACGGAAAATTTTCAGGGTATCGCCGTATCTCACGTTCATTTACTGGCCTAATGTTTATATTCGAAGTCCTTATTGGTTTGCTACGTCATCTTCGTTTTCCGATGTTGGATTTTAAAATTTTTTGCAATGGGTCTTTTTTACATGTGTTCCCTCACGACCCAAATTTGTTTAATTTGTGTTTTGAGAAAGATTTCGGAAGTGAAAATCAAAAAGTCAGAATAAACTTAACTAAAATTGTAGTCAATTATCAGTATATATACACCTAAATATTAAAAACTTACTCGTAATTTTCTTAGCAGTCTATTTTGTTGCCGCTTTCGGATCGATGGATTGGTCTCGAAAGAATGTGGCCTCTTTCTTTTTTTCGATGAAACAATGGCAGCTGCTGCTGCTACCCCTACTGGTCCTGGAAAATGTTTAAATTTTATTCCAATGAAAAATCAATAAACAAATGAAGAAAGTACAGAAGGTATCATAAGGTTCTGGATTTTCGAAATTAGTCCAATATTTACATTCGACCGTTCGCGTAAAAGTAAATAGCCAGTGGCAGTACTAGCGAATGAGCCAATTCTGTACAAGTTTTTTTTTAAATACAGGTAAAAATACAAATTCTGTACACTTTTACAGAGATAAGACAGTAAGTGTACACCTGGAAATACCATTCTAACTACATTTAAAGATAAGCCATATTTTTGTACGGCCGCGGCCCTCTGTAATAAGTCTAATTTATTCAACACCGATTCTCAATCTGGAAAAACTCTGGAATTAGATCAGAAAACACAAGAAAATGACAAGAACTTACTAGAAATGTTACACAAAGTTTTTTTTGTTTGTTGTACAGAAAAGTTAGCGTATGGTTAGAGTTGAATAAATAAGATTTTCATTATTTTTTTTTTTAGTTTTACGTTTAAAGTAGACCTTAGACAGTACGTTTTTACGTTAGACAGTACATGCAAGAAAAAAGAGGCTGAATGTGTTCAAGAATCCAGTATAAAATATATATGGTAGGTGATTTGATATAAGAATATTATTCAATGTCACATATAGACCAAATTCACTAAAATAATAAAACATCCTATGTTATTTAATGATAAAATTTAAATGTTATTGTTAACAGTATGTTGGCTATTTATAGGTTATTGCCGATTTTTGGTGTGTTCAAGAATCCGGTATAAAATATATATGGTAGGTCATTTGATATAAGAATATTGTCACATATAGGCTAAATTCACTAAAATAATAAAACATCCTATGTTATTTAATGATAAAATTTAAATGTTATTGTTAACAGTATGTTGGCTAGGTATATTGCCGATTTCTGGTGATATGTAAAAAAAAAGATTGAGAGGAAAAGTGGTACAAGTGACATTTTGTATAAAAGTGAGATATGTGCATGAGTGGCTAGAGGATGTTGAGATTTATTAATATAAAAATGGTACAAGTACAAAACACACTACAGTACGGACATCTGTATGTGAGAAGTAAAAGCTCTCACCAATTTCTGGTAATGGTTTTCTGTATAAGTGGTCCAAGCGTACATGTCCCACTTTTGTTCTAAACCTTATGTAGTTGTTTGTGACAGCCACGTTTTAAAAGTGTGCAGGAATATTAATACAATTTGTGAAATAGCCTTAAAATAATGCAAGGTAAGTCTTCAATGCGTTTTATATTTTTTCAATTGTTATTTTATAGGGTTATTTTATTTATCTATGTCTTCAAAAAGTAGTAGTTGAAAGAAACTTATAGCATAACCTTAAAATGTTTCTTTTTTGTTTCAGAATCTGACAGTTATTCGGAATATGACGATTCAGAAGAGGACAGAAACTATAATCCAATAGAAGAAAGTAGTAGCGATAGTAATCATGATCTACAAAACATTGCAGATGTTCATTTAAACAAGTCATTAAAGAAAAAGGGCAAAAAACGTTTGAGATATAGCGATTTAGATAAGAGGCAAGTAAGAAAACGAAAAAGAAATGCAGGTGAGGAATACGTAGGCTATAAAAACAAGTTAGTAAAAGCAAGAAGTTTGCAAAATTATATACATACTTGCAGATTTCAGTGTCAAAAATTCACCGATGAACAAAGACAGGAAATATTTAACCAATTCTGGGGTCTAGGAAATTGGAATCTGCAGAATGCATTCATTACGTCTTGTACAGAGATCGCTTTGCCCAAACGACGACGTACAGAAGCTGTTACTAATAAAGAAAAGAGCGTTACTATCAAACTAAAAAATATGAGAGTTTGCAAAATGTTTTTCTTAAAAACCTTGGATATCAGCAATGGACGTTATTCGAGAATTTTAAATGGGATATCTGACGTTGGAATCACCGCTGTTGATAAAAGAGGAAGAGCTCCATGTCCTAATAAACTATCACAGGATGTAATTGATAAGGTAAAACGACATATTGATATGTTTCCAAAATATACCAGCCATTACACCAGACATTACAATCCCCGTAGACGGTACCTTCCTTCATTTTTGACCATAAGAAAAATGTATAAGTGTTACCTAGAGCATTGTCAAGAAAATAACGAAGCTCCTGTCAAGGAATGGTGCTACAGGAGAGTGTTTAATACCGAATTTAATCTAAGTTTTCATCATCCCTTGTCCGATACTTGTAATAAGTGCGATAAGTTCGAAACATCAATAAAATCGTGCATAAGTGAGTCAGATAAAAAGAAAATAATGTGCGAGAGAGAGCTTCATCACCGAAAAGCCGAATCGGGAATACAAGCCAAAAAAGAGGCAAAAATAGTGGCTGAAACTTCAAGGAATGAAGAAGTGGTATCAGTTTGTTTCGATCTACAAAAAACTTTACCTACACCAGCACTTACAACCAACAAAGTGTTTTATATGCGAGTATTATGGACATATAATTTTGGAATCCATAATTTGGGCAAGAAATGTGCTTCAATGTATATGTGGGATGAATCGGTAGCATCCAGAGGCTCTATGGAAGTTTCTTCATGTCTTTGGAAATTTATTGCTGGTCTTAATCAAAATACACGACATCTTATTGCATTTAGTGATTCTTGTTCGGGACAAAATAAGAATAAAAATATTGTGAAATTTTTTATGTATGTGGTTAAAGAAACTCAGCTAGAAATAATAGACCACAAATTCCTTGAACCGGGACATACCTTCATGGAATGCGATGAAGATTTCGGAGTCATTGAAAAGTACAAAAAGCAAGTACCTTATATTTTTGTACCCAGTGAGTGGATGAATGCTGTGAGAAACAGTTCTAAGAAGTTTAAATGTGAAGAAATGAAGATGGAGCACTTCATTTCACTCGAAAACTTCAACGAGTACGTGCAGGAAAATATTAAAAAGGATGATGAGAATAAGCAGATAAAATGGAGAGAAATAAAATGGATTCGGTTTGAGAAGAAAGACCCATTTACTATGAAATTCAAGTACACTCTCAATGAAGAGACTGAATTTATAACTGTTAACTGTATGAAGAAGATGCGTGGAAGAACACCTCAGAATATTAGTCTTAGCAAACTGTATAGTTCACCCATGAGTCTGAAGTATGAAAAATGGAAGAATTTACAAGACCTACTATGCTTTGTGCCACCAATTTACCATCAATTTTACAATCAGCTCAATCACACTGCGAAGAAGGGAAAACAAGGTCAGAAAAAGAAGCCAATGCAACCTGAAGAAAGAAAAGAGAAGGACAATGAAGATGACGATGAGGTAGACGACAATGATAAAATACTTTTGAGCGACTATGATGATGAGGAAGATATTTAGCTCAGTTGGTAGCACGTCTATATAATATCATTTCGTTATTATTTTTATGCATTTTTTGTTCCTGTATTTTTGTGCAATATACATTTTGTTTTCGTATCTAATGTAGCTTCTTAAATAAATGTTCAAAAAATTACGTGTATTTCTTTTATAAAAGATATTATTTATTTATTTACTCATGGTAATATTTACTTGTACCATTTTTACTCTAAACAACAAAAATGGTACATGTACATTTTGTAAAAAATGTTTCAAAAAAACTAAATGTATATGATTGTAAAAACTGCACATGAAAACATTAAGAACTTACTAATAATAATATCTTGATTAGATTTTAAAATTTTGTTTGGTCTTTTTGTGCCACTACTTAAACTTTAACTCTCATTTTCTCAAAACTATCTAAATGTCACTTGTACCACTTTTCCTCTCAAATTGTTCTCTTCAGTGTGTTATCGTAGCGAGACAGTGACGAACTAGTTTTTGTGTTAGTGAAATAGCTTTAATATTTTTATTTTTTTTTGTGAACAGTCGTTTTTAATATTGTATAATTTTTTGGATCATTCTGAATAAATAAGGTTAATTGTAATTTTTCTCTAAAATTGATCGCTTTCAACTTATAAACAATTTAAAACTGAAAAAAAAAACGAATAATGATGATTGAAGTCTCAAAAACACACAATTAATTTTGAATTCATCAAGCCTTGTTCTATCAGTTTCTGATACTTTAGTTTGGGCTTATTTAATTTAAAAACATTGTTTTAGTTGTTTGAGTCCCTTATTATTATTATTAGCTGTGAAGAGCCGTAAGCTGGAGTACTTGGGACATATAATGAGAAATCAAGGCAGATACGAGCTACTCCAATGCATTTTGCAGGGTAAAATTGAAGGAAAAAGAGCCCCAGGACGAAGAAGAATATCCTGGCTTGCTAACCTGAGAGCATGGTATAGAAAGACCTCAACACAGCTATTCCGTATAGCAACCAACAAAATCATCATAGCCAGAATGATCGCCAACGTTCGGAACGGACAGGCACCCTAAGAAGAAGAAGAGTCCCTTATCACAACCTAAAAATTGATTAAACTATTTAATAAATTAGGACCACTTTTTGTATGAGCGACCTCTTGAACATTATTCTGTGGTATTTTATAAAAGTGATTATGCAAAAAATCTCATGGGAATATTTTTCCCAAGGAATTACAGGTTTTCGTCTCGTATAAACATATTTTACTGAATTTAAAAATAAAATCCCATTATTTTTCTATCAAACAATGATTTGTTATTTATTTATTTGTCCTCTAGACTTTTTCAGTTCTTAAAAGGTTTGTTTATAAGCCAAATTAGTGCAACGTAAATATTTTATATTTTTACACAGCAATTCTTATCGACAGTGAAGAGGGGAAGTCGTAAATTTTTATTACATCTTTCAATGTGGAACAAAATAAAAATGCGATAACTAACTGAAATGTTTAAGATTAGAGAAACATAATATGTCATGTTTATTGGAAATACTAGACATCATTAGCACGTGCAAATCCTACCCTATCGCCTAATTTCCTATGATATTAAAATGGTAAATGTTTTTAGGGTTCATTTATTTTTTCGGGCATGCGTATTTACGAGTCCACGAGGTTTTGAAACATCT